GTGCAATTTAGGTGCGTCTGAAAATGTTGGTTCCAAAACACAGTGTTCAGGTGGCGGCGGCGGCTAGTGTCAACAACAACAATAATAATGATAATAATAACAGTAATGGCAACAATGCTGAGGTGCTAAAAAACAATTTTTTTTTTCGTTATTCAGTTGTAATGTTGAGCAAAAGCAAAATTAGTTTGTCTAAAGGAAGACATCTCTTTTTTTTCCCTCTTCTTTCTTCACTTTTTTTTGTTGCCTTCCGGTAGTATGTTCTTACCTTTTTCTTTTTCTCAGCTTGGTTGTAATGGTGTACAAATTGGGGTTTAGGAAAAGTTGTCATTAGTTGACATTCTTCTTTTTTTTTTCTTTCAAATTCTTCTGTTTATCGTCAACATCTAACAGTAATGAGTTTTACACGTTTCTGACGATGACGACAATGATGTAATGTCATTTGAGGGTTGCTGTATAGTAGCGGTCAGAAAGGGGAATACCTGGATAGAGTAACCAATTTATTGTAATTGATGGGAAAGGGCAATGGTAATGATTGTTCAAAAATGTCAGCAGTTATTTATTTAAAAGGTTTTTTGAAAAAAAAATTAATGAGTTAATTAGACGGTAGCTGAATAGATTTATTCCAGTCTGCATTTTTTTTTTAGATACTTAAAAGTATTTATCTAAATTATAAATTAGTTTTTAAAAAAAATATAGGTGAATTATCAGTTTTTATAGGATATAATCTTTGATGAACAAGGAAATATTATTAGTGGTACTGCGGAAGCGTTGATTAAACGTTTAATACCGACCAAAGACTACTGTCCGAATGGTTCCTATATTTTTGCCCTGTTACTGAACATACGAACAGTAATAGCACCATCAGATTTATTACACAAAATATTGCAGGTAAACTTATACAGCTACAGTAGTGTTACTTATACAAATTAGTGTATTAATTTTTAAACATTTTTAGAATGAAATATCAGGTAGTGTTATATGTAATAAATAGAATTTATATTTCATTAACTGTAGTTGGTGTAACAGAATTTTTTTAATTTTGACAGAGCACCAAGTATATGACTTGTTTGTTTTATAAACTTTAACAATGGAAACTTGGGCAACATTTTTCGACAAGCTTTGTATCTGTAAAACGAATTGATTTGGATGGGAAAAAGTAACGAATTGAGAAAGGTAGAGGGAAGTGCGGGGGAGAGACGGGCAGAAGGGGGAGGGTGGTGGAAGGTGGAGGGGAGAGAAAAAGAAAAATGAGAAAGAAGCAATAGAATTTTTAAAAACTTTGATGAAAGGTCAAACAAAATGGAAGAGCTTTAAATTAATTATTTCTGAACAATAAATTATGAATACACGTATATTTTTACATAGTGAAAACTGGTTTAAAATATATGAATCTTAGATTTGTTCAAAACACAAATTTTTGATATTGCATTAGTGTTTAGTGGGGTGAAGAAAAAAGCCTGTTGAAAAGATAGATTAATGATTACATTGTACAATTTCAAGAAATCTGTATTCACTTTTTGATGCATTTCTTACAACTTTTTGTTTTTTTTTTTTTACAGCAATGTATGTTTCAACAGAATGCTACTGGAGAGAATTTTACCAAAGAAGGGCGTACAAGAATGTTTTCAAATATTTTTAAAGTTTGCTCACAGTGGACCGAGCATTTTGCTTGCGATTTTACCGATAAAACAATGCGGCATCGGTTAATTGAATTGCTAAATTTATTGCCGGTTGACGCAAAAAGTAAACGAGACGTTGAAACATTAATGGAAAATTTGAACAATAAGGTTTTCAATAAGTTTTTTCATTTTAAATTGAATGGTTTTTTATGGGATACTGAATCAGAGTTGTTCTTCAGTATTTAATAAATCAATTAAAATTTTGATTTTCAATAATTGAGGTATTTTTTGATTATCGATTTACAGTACTCGAGAGAGGTTTCAAAAAGTTATAGCTTCACCTAAATTAGGTTTAGAAACAGTTCTCTTGAAATACCTCTGATTATTCACCATTTTTTTTTAATTTTTCTTCTTCTTTTTCTGATAAAATGTTTTTTTAGTTGAATAATTTTTACTGCTGTAAAACTGTATTGGAAACTCTGAAGACGTGTTTTATCGAACGAAGCAATCGTAACGATGTGACTGTAAGATGATTTCAATTTTACTTTCGCTTGGGTTTTTTTTTCTTTCCTATTCAATTTGTTTGGTCTTCGATTGTAATTTGGATTAGCAGTTGTTGTCCGGTATACAGATGGGTTGATAGGGACAGTTGACAACATCTGTTAGGCAACAATTTAGAATACTTAATCTAACCAAAATATCACTTTTCTGTTGTAGGCAGTACTAATGGAACTTTGCTCAGATCCGGTTGAGTTGGGACAACAGTTAACACAGATTGAACTTGTGAGTGCTTAACAAATTTTCGTCTCTCCTACTTTCCTTATCGTTGTTTCTTTTTACAGTAAGTTATAGAAAAAACTGTTCTAAGTAATCGTCGAAGAGGTCGAAGAGGTAAAAGAGGCCAAAAACTGCTAAAAGAAGATTCTTTTCCAATTTTTTTCTACCACACATGGATTTCTTTTGGTAGTATAAACCATCAAAATATTTTCAGCGAAAACACAGAGAAAATTTTTTTCTTTTATTTTTTTTTGAATTTTTAATACAGCAATGTATTGACTAGTGGTAATTCTAAAATTAGGTTTTGATATGCTCAAAAATTGCTACAAAAATGTGTCTTTAAATTTTGAATTCTTTGTAGAGGTAGTTTTTTCTTCACTCTTTTTTCTGTTACTCAAATATTTATTTCGAGCGGTAGGAAAAAAAGAGAAATGAATAAATAAAATTGGCAAAATAACTAATGGGCTTTTGTTGCAGTCTTTTGAAGACCGTTCTCGTTGAATGTTGTTGTACTTTCTATTAAGAAATATGAGGAAAAAAACCAAGGAATACGTAGCACACACTTTTATAAAATCTTTTTCTTTTCTTTTTTGTTCTTTTTTTTTTTGATGTAGTCATCATCCTTTTATGTGCAGAATTCATTATGATCAAGAAAAAACGGGATGAAGGAGAAAAATTTGGGAAGGTGAACGGAACAACAAAAATTTTTAATGAATATTTTAGGAACGATTAAGTATGATTGGACCTGAAGATATTATCAATGCGCTACGGGACGGTGGTTTGGATAACTATGAAAAGGTAAATACTAGTGACAAAAGACTCTTCATTATACAATTATAACACTGTGCAGAAAAAAGTAGAAAAGAGCAGAAAGAAGATAGTTCAAAGTTTTTATCTCAAAATTACCACTTTTTCTGATACACAAAAAACCGTTTGAAGGTAAGAATTCTGTCTGAAATAGTAAATCACTGTTGAGCCAGTTACAAGTCTGTTGTCTTTTCTCTCTCTTCCCCTGGTGGAAAAAACAGATTTCCTCTCCTAAAAAGTATCTACGTCAGGCTGCTTCAGTGGCTCAACATTATCTGTGCTTTGTTCAGCAAGCCAGTAAAATAAGCCAGCAATTAATAACATGCCGTGATACACACTGATGCTAGGAAACACTAAGATTGAAAACCCGGATAGTAAAAGTTTTTAGCTGTGAGGCAACCAAAACTGAAAGCGGCCAAGAAAATAATGATTCATTAATAAGGTATTGACTGCATTGGTGCTGAGCTTCTAGTGACAGATGACATGCTCTTTCTCTCACCTGTTTTACAACCTCCTAAGCTGGAATTCCTGTAAATCGACTTAACGATCAGTTTTGTTTACCTCTCCTTGCTGGTTATATCGACCAGTTGATTCCCCTATGTGTATTATATCATTATTGAATTGTTGTCGAGCTAATGACATCTTGATAAATACTTTTTGTCTATTCTGAATTTCAAACTTAATTCTACTAATATCATCACTTTTTTTTTGCAGCGTTGTAGCAGTGATGGTTGTATTTCGCCTGCAGTAGCCTCCTACATCGACTGGTTTAATCATTTGTCGGTGATCGTTGCCACAGAAATTTTATGCTGTGTCAAACGACAAAATCGTATTAAAACAATTGAATATTTTGTGGAAGTGGCCAAAGAATGTATTAATATTGGAAACTTTAATTCACTAATGGCAATTGTTGCGGGCTTTTCACTAACGCCAGTTGCACGACTCAAAAAAACGGTTATTATTTGTTACTGTTTTTGTTTACTGTTTTTACGGTTGTCTGATGGAACACTGATCAAGAGAAATAACTGGTGCAAAATTTTATTGGTTTTAAGAATAGTGTTTAAATATTTGGACAGTAAATATGTCCATTTGATTTTGGAACAATATTGTTATATTTTTGAAAGTCTTGAAATTTATTCAAAAAAAAACTTCTTTTTGAAGCCAGTTTTTGCTGGTTAATGTTATTATTCGTTTGTAGTGGAGTCGAGTGGAAAAAAGTCGTCTGGAAATACTGCAACATCAGTTGGATCCATCAGCCAATTTCCTCAGTTATCGAGCAACACTGAAAGCCGCAGTGTGGAGATGTGACGGAGCGAAAAATGAGGCTGAAAAAGTCTGTTTAGCTGTACTGAACCATTTATGTTAACTGCATAACAGAGTTTACACACTTTAGTTTTTGGGAAGTTTCTTGTTATTCTAAAATTTTTCTTGCAGATTATTATTCCATTTTTTGGACTATTTTTGAAAGATCTATCACTGATCTATAGTTGCTGTTCTAAAACGCTGCCGAATGGTCATTTGAATTTTGTGGTAAGGCATTCGAGTTTTTTTTAAAACTATTAGAAGAGTTATAGTTTTTGAAACCGGTATACTTTATACTCCTCTATATTAAATGCATAAAATCATCCAAGAAATAACAGCTAAATCTTACTTTCTTTCTGAATTTCCGTATAATTCTGTCAAGAGACGGCAGTACAATGGAATACCATAAAAAAAAAAAAAAAAA